AATAACTTGTACACTAAATATTTCATCTTTATACCCGAGATCACCGCAAATGGGCCTAAACCGCCTTTGTCAGAGGTCGTTACTTCAACATCTTTTACAACCATGAGACAGTATTTCAATGTTTTAACGTCGTTCTTAAGTTCGCGGTTTCTTGCGTTATCGTTGTTTATATTTTAATGTCCTGTTGTAGGTACATTCATTTCAAAATGAAAGTTTTGCATACAAAAAATTACTTTTAAAGTGTTAAAAGGAGTCGGAATTCTAATCAAACACCGATTCTCTTGCAAATTCGTGAATTTTTTATTCAGAAACGGTCATTTCCAAAGCCATTCAGGCGAGTGGGGTTATTCTGAATACAACTACTTCATTTGGCCTCAGGGGTTGAGATATATCGAAAACGTCCCTAAAATAAGGAAGTTGACAAGACACTTGATAGAACAAAGTTCAAGCTTAACTCACCCGTTATCGTACGGACTATCAGCCCCACTGAGCTCAACCACCAAATCGCTTTCCTTAAAGACAGCCGGCGTGATGATCGTTTCGTCTGTGTCAGCCAGGTTGATCAGCAGGCCGTAATTCACCACATCAGTCGATCTTTTGAGATAAAAGACTTTGCCATCGTTGGTGCTTCCCCACGTTGTCGATTCCTCCGCACCATCTGCGAACAGCGTCTTCAATCTGAGCATCGTTGTGTATATCTTATAGTGCGTTTTAATCTGTTTTGCGTCACTTTGGCGCTCCAGATTGGTCTGCACGTATTTTTCGCTCACTGGAAGCCATGGCGTGTGGCCCTCATTGAAACCTGAAATTGAGTAAAATTAGGCAACTGAGTGAGTGATGGTTCCAGCCAATCAATCACCTGCCTGAACTCCCGAGCTCCACTGGAAGGGAGTTCGCTCAAAATCGCGGCTCGTCTGCTGGTAGGTTGAGCAGTCTTTGATTGCTTGAGGATCGTAGCCTTGTTCGCATGTCACTTCACCTGGAAGCCAGCAACATAAGTGGCGCAAAAAGTCGTTGATGGACTTACCATTTTCTTGCCCGATTTCCTCTCCTTGGTAGGTGATGCGAGCTCCGGGTAAAATTGAGGCCAAAATGTTCAAAGCGTCGACATTTTCCGGTCCCAGCCGCGTGGCCACTCTGGTTTGATCGTGGTTCCCCAGCTAGAAGAACAAATCAGGCCTGCCAAAAGATGGAAGTTTGCCCAGTACTTACCACCCAGTTGCTGGAACACGAGGGTATGCCGATCAGCCAGGCCGCAATGCTTTCAGCCAGGTCTTTGCCATCGAAACCCTTCTGGGTGTTCTCGATGAAGGTGATGAAGTTGAAGGTGAAATGGGCTCCTGCGCGAGAGCCTTCCACTCCACAGTAGCCTCTGGTCTGTTCGGGGCTGGCGTACACTTCCGTCATCATTATCCTGCAAACCCAGTTTACCCAACCAGCCCTCCGGGAGGGGTTTGCGGCTCACCTGGAATACGTGCCGTTCCGGGCAGTGAAGTCATCCAAAAGCTGTCTCCACTCGTAGATCATCTCATACGTTTCGTTCAAGTTCTGCGTGTAAAGGTGGCTCAGAGTGCTGGCATCCTCAGGGTCCAAACCGGAGTCGCCTGGGGATCGAGAGGACGTTGCAAGTTGCCCAAAACCCGCCCATGGTTCTACCTGAAGGTGGTTCGTTCCTCAGCAGTTCGTCCTCAAACAGGAACGGGACTGCGTCGATTCGGAACCCGTCGATGCCAAAGTTGAGCCAATAGGAAAGCACGTCCTTCATCTCCTGGACCACCAGGGGGTTGCGGTAGTTCAGATCAGGCTGAGCGGTGGAGAACTGATGAAGATAGTACTGCTGTCGGAGCTCGTTCCATTGCCAAGCCGAGCCTCGGAAGTTGCTCAGCTGAAACCCAGGGTTGAAAGGGGGCTGGTTTGGGGCTGGAGCGGGGAATTTACCCAGTTGGTTGGGGGGGTTCGGACGCCTTCTATGTAAGTGGCGTTCGCCCACACGTAGTAATCGTGGTAGGGAGAGATTCCATAAACAGAAGCCTCAAACCAGATGTGCTTGTCGCTGGTGTGGTTCGGCACAAAGTCTAAGATCACTTTGAGGTCTCTTTGATGCGCCGCCTCAACCAACTGGCGCAGGTCCTCACGGGAGCCGTAGAGTTCGTCTGGAAATTTCAGTGGAGAGGGAAAGTGGTTGAGTGTGAGGAAATCCATGTGGTTGTTATACAGGGATATACTAAAAGTAAATTTTTAACTGGAAGTTTGCATGTTCCTTGATCCTTTTTTGCATTTTCAAATGAAAGTTGATCACCCTGTAGATTTTGAACGGTCTGTTTCACAAAGGAATCGATCAGATTCAGATCAGGCGTTCGAATCAGGCCAGCGCTTTGCCTTAAAATGAACTAAAAAAATCGCTTTTTTATTTGAATGAATTTCAAAGTGCAATTTTTCGATCGGAAGCGATGATCAGAAAGAAGCAGCTTTTCTTTACTGTTCATTTGTTTTACTTTTACTGTCATTATATTTTTTGTATATACTTTCCTCACTGTGTTTCAATTCCAAATCAAAATTAATTCCTGGGTTTCAGTCATTTATTGTCTCTATTTATCAATTAAAGTACGTTTCGGTGAATTTTTCCACCATCATCAGTTTTTCAATGTCATTAATTTAAAAAACAACCACACTTCGTCAACAGCCTCATCATATCACAATTGCAATACTTTAAAACATTCTAAAACTAATTAGGCCTAACAGATGATTAGTCAGGACAATCAAATTTGGGAAGAGACTAGAATTCTTCGTTCAGATACTTAAATATTTTTACTTACGTTGTTGCTGCTTTAAGCCTTGGCATACATTTGCAGTATTAATTTTGTCCATTTTGGACAAAATTAATACTCCAAATGTATATTCTGAAGATATTATTTTTGGTTTGCAAAATTCTTCGATATACCGGGTGTTAGTTAATATTCTATGTTTATTTCATTTAATTAATGTATGATATACTGAGCTAAGATTGTCGGTATCCGATCTGAAATTCATAGCATTGTTATATTTTTTAATCTGTATCATTTCATGGACTCTTCTCTTATTATAATTACTCTCGTTAATCAGTATTTTTGTGTTATCAAAATCAAAATTATGCAACTTCCGTTGTGCATGCTGTGCTAATGCTGTACCATTTTCGTTATTTTTCTTAGGCTATACTTATGTTCGTATATTCTTTTCTTTAGATATTGTCCTGTTTGACCTA